TGCAGTGTTCTTTTGTGTGCACCGGGTGGCTATGGGCCAGAACCGGCATAACGGCACCAAACAACATATACAATACACACACACATGCATATGGAGGAAGTACATGTAAAGTATACATTTCTTTATTTCACTATCTCGGCCTCTCCAGGAAGGTGGCTGCCATGCAAGCCCGTGCTTGCCCTACTGTCTACTGAGCGGAGGGTTCCCAAGTCTGCTCCTAGGAACCCGTCCCTATCAGAGAAGAGGGATCGGCCACTACGATGATACCTGCTATTGGACAGGAGAGGACGTGCTTCTCCAAAGGGCAGGATGGCAGACAGGCCACAGGCCTGCCAAAGCCGTCTTCCCTAAGGTCTCCTCCCCTGGAGGGCTGAATCCCAGCCCCGCGGGTAGAAGCTGGGTGACCTTGTGCAAGTGCCTCCACCTATCTGTGCTCTGCCGGATTCGAGAGGGGAACAGCCCCCCACCTCCTGGGGCTGCTGTGAGCACATGGACTCGCAGTCCAAGGTGTCTGCCCAGGTCAACCGAGCTCCTCCGAGGGGCCGTCCAACTACCGTCGTTGCAATAAAGTTTTATCGGCGCCTGGCCCCACCTATTAGCTTGCACACTGTCCATGGCTGCTTTCCGTGAAAAGCTGTGTCAGACGCCCCCAAATTAAAGTGACCGGATTTTAACATTGGTAAAGTGGGACACCAGTGATAAAACTCATATCCTGGCGAAACAGCCACATGGCAGCCGAAAACCGTCTACCCTAGCTTGTCGTGCATTCTTTCCAAAAATCGGGACTTTTTTAAAAAGCCGCGGGACGTGGAGAAAATTGTTAAAAATCGGGACTGGCCGACAAAAGCGGGACGTCTGGTCATCTTAGCCAAAATATTTGCTCTCTGGTGTCTTCTAGAAAGAGCTGGCTGCCCTGACCCCCCACCTCCCCATCCCCCCCGGCCCTGTTTCTGCTTACGATCAACATGATGACTAGCTGGTTCTTCTTGGCCACCTGCGAGTGGGAAAAAATGCACCCCAGCACCGGGGTCATGTCTGGCTTGAAATGCTCCCGCAGGCTGATCACACATTTGTCGTAGTGGGCTGCAGGGGAGACAGGAAGGGCACGGGGTGAGGCTGGGGCTCCCCCCCACCATGCGGGCTCATCGGCAGCGTGAGGCCCCGGGCGCAGCTTGCCTTGTTGGAAGTAATGCTCCACATGCAAGTATCTTCGCAGGAGGTCCAGCACCACGGCCTTCAAGTAGCCACGCGTCCCGCTGCGGTACCTGGAGGGGGTGTGTGTGAAGGGGTATCAGGAGTGCGCAAACCTGTTCAAACCCCAAATGCAGCCAGCCCGAGGGAGAGGGGCTGGCGTTTTCAAAATCGCGAGATGGAAGCAAGTTCTGATGTGGCTCATTTTCGCCGCCAACAAAAAGGAGACGGAAGATGGATCTGGGCGGGGGCCACGCCCACCCAGGCCACGGTGCCTGCCGGCTGCTCCGTGGGGGCCAGGCGCTCACCTCTGAACCAGCTGCACGATGCTCTGGGTGTTCATGAAGAAGACCTCGCGGTCGGCCTTGCGCTGCAGCGTGGCTGCGTGGCAGTCCAGGATGGTGGCAATCTTGGCGGGACAGAAGGGTGGGCCACTCGACGTGACCTACAGAAGCCACTTCAAGGAAACACCCGCCACCCTCCACGGCTCCTACAGGGGACTGCCCAGAACCCACTGCTACGGCCATCGAGTGTACGTGACGACTCATAGCAACCCTCTAAGACCGGGTAGAACTGCCCCTGCGGGTTCCCGAGACTGCCACTCTTGATGGGGGTCAAGACACCTCGCCTTTCGCCCATGGAGTAGCGGGTGGTTTAAACTGCTGACATTGCGACTAGCAGCCAAACTGGGAACCACAATGCCACCGGGACTCCTGCAAGGCGCCCTCAGAGAATCAGAAGTTCCAGGTCATCTCTCCCACTCGGGTTCCTGAACAACTGCCCCGGTGGCTACGGAGACTGTGGACTCTAGATAAGAGTAGAAAGCCTCGCTTTTCTCACTCTGCTCACGCAAAACTAAAAAATAAACGGACTCAATGCCGTCAATTCGATGTGGCTCACAGTGACCGACAGGACAGGGTGGAACTGCCTCTGGGTTTCTGAGATGGTCACTATTTGTGGGAGTAGAAAGCCCTGTCTTGCTCCTAAGGAGCAGCTGGTAGTTTTGAACTGCCGTCGGGTGGGGCTCGTTACCTGCTGGCTGGGGAACTGGCACAGCACGGAGGTGATGTTGCTGGCGTACTGCACCATGACCCGACGCACGGCCTTCTCCACGGACGTGGGGATGCGGCCCGACACGCTGGTCATGATCTCCTGCAGCTCCAGCAGCGGCAGCGACGGATGCCGCAGGGTCACCATGAGCTTTTGCACCCACTCCTTCAGCTGCAACAGGGAACGCAGCCTCAGCCCAGGCCCTGCGCCCCCAAAGACGGGCTGCTGCCAGCAGCCTCCAGGGTGGGATGTGCCCAGCCCCTGAGCACCAGGGTGCTGGGGAAACACCCAGGTTGCCCACACAGCAGGGGCCCACAGCCCTCTCCACGCATCCACTGGCCGTGGGAGGAGGCAGCATATGGACACGCCTATGCTCCTCTGTCTCAGGGGAGCCTCAGAAAGTGTCAATCACTATGCCCAGTCTGTAGCTAAGGGAACCACAACAGAGAGGATTGCTAAGGCACCCCAGCTGGGAAGGAGGAGAGCCAGGGTGCAAACCCAGGCCACAAAGCAAATGAAGCTCACTGCCTTTGAGCCGATGCTGACTCACAGCAACCCTGCGAGACAGGGTAGAACTGGCCCTGTGGGCTTTCGAGACAGTAACACTCTATGGGGAGTAGAACACCCCATCTTTCTCCTGCAGAGCGGCTGGTGGTTTAGAACTGCCGGCCTTATGGTTAGCAGTCCAACACGTCACCACTGTGCCACCAGGGCTCTTCCATCACACCAGGATTGAGTTAAATAAATGTGGGACCAGTGTGGCCTGCGAATGATGATCTCAACATCCAAACGGCCCTTGGCTGAAAAAAAGAAAAAGATTCCCCAGCCCTGCATGACAGGGGCCCACGCAGCTCACCTTGATGCTGAAGATAGGTTCTGGGAGGCAGTAGCCGCTCATGACGTTGGACAGGTTCTCCAGGACATATTGGAATACCTGGTGCAGCTTCTCCCCGAGGATGGGCAGCGTGGGCTGGGTGGGCAGCTCCCCAGTGAACGGCTGGGCCTGGCCAGACAGGCAAATGA